TTACTATAAAGAGCCGTAGTTCACTGACAAGCTATGCAATATCGCATTCATAATCGAAGGCGATTCATCTGCAATTATGAACGCGATATTGTGTATCTTGGCAGTGATCTACGGCTCTGTGTATTAAATGCCGCTCCATCTGAAAGCATGGAGATTTACTATTAATCACAGAACCGGCTTTACTGACGAGATGCGCATGACAATCACATGCGATTTATTGTGCAGCCCTAATTTTTTTTGTTTGTTTGTTGATCACAAAGTACAAAATAGTTGAGGAAAACTAGGAAGCCGGGTACATTCAAAGTGCCGCCATTACTGTCTAGAATGCATGGAGTGGTGCGCTGTGATTGGTTGTTACTGTTTACAGTGCGTGGAATGGTGTGCTGTGATTGGTTGAGCGGATATATCGCATTCTGCAGAGAATGGAGGCTGGCGTTTGTCGCGGTTTGGAAAAAAAAAGGGAGAAAACATGACAGAATAACTCGGCGGATATCGCATTTTGCGTAAAATTCAAAATGGACTTTTCAATACTGACCAGATACAATACTGATTTTGGCGGAAACTCAATTTCGTTTATCGCGTTTTGAAACCAACATATGATGTTATATGATGATGCTACTATACTCTTTTCTGCTGTTCATCAGCGCCACCTGCTGTTAGACTGTGGGATTTACAAATTCATTAAATCTGTCTGCCTTATTTTTGTTCAGACCAAATTTTTGTTGTAAATCTTAACTGGTCGATAGAAAATAGCCTACCTTGTTATCAGAAGTGTTGAGATTTTTAAAATGCACATTAGCTTTTATGGAGCAGATAACATTTAATTGATCATTCTGACTCATCCTTTTATTAAAAAAATATATAAAGGCTGATATGTTATAGTTTTATTTTAAAAAAATGGTCAAAACTTAGATAGGTAACATGTTATGAATATTTTGTTAGCTTAAAATCTGGCCATGCTTTTTTAACGTTTATGCAAACAAAAAGTGCATAATGCTGCAAAATTTTATTTGTTGGCTTTTCTCATACAACTTGGCAAAATTATTTCAGTGTGTGTATCAGTATTTTTTTAATGTTTCCAGCAAGGGTTGCAAAGGGGTGGAAAATTTCTGGAAACTTTCCAAAAATCCCTGGAATATTCCAAAAAAAAAATCCTGGAAAGTTTCTGGAATAATTCTGAAATTTACTGGAAAATTTCCACCTTTTTTGCAACCCTATTTCCAGCACATTTTAACAACGCTGTGTATAACAGTTTGGATTGATGCATTATTTAAGAAGTATTGAATAACATTGGTAGCTCTCAGCCGCTTTCATTTTTTAAAAGTAGCTCCCGAATGAAATAAGGTTGGAGACCCCTGGTTTAAATGTTGTTTTCTGATTGTTCTGCTCGTGAAGGATGAAGGCAGTGATAACGAGGACGCCGCTCACCACAGGAGGTCTGAGAACGCAGACAGCGGGTCGGATCACGGGGCTCGTGGAGGAGGAGACGCGAGCGATTCGGAGTCCGAGCCGCCGCGGCCCGCAGACAGTGAGGAAGATGAGGTGGGCAGCTCTCTTGTGAAGCGAAGAGCGAGCACCTCAGACATGGAGGAGGAGGAGAAACCGCACCCAGCCAGTGACTCCGAGCCGGAGGAAACCGAGAAGAGACACAGCCCTAAATCAGACGCGGGCAGCGATTCAGACGAGGACAAACCCAGTGACTCCGAGCCGGAGGAAACCGAGAAGAGACACAGCCCTAAATCAGACGCGGGCAACGCGGGCAGCGAGGACAAACCCAAACAGAAAACTCTGAGAGACTCTGAGGAGGAGGAGAAACCGCACCCAGCCAGCGACTCCGAGCCGGAGGAAACCGAGAAGAGAGACGGCCCTAAATCAGACGCGGGCAGCGATTCAGACGAGGACAAACCCAAACAGAAAACTCTGAGAGACTCTGAGGAGGAGGAGAAACCGCACCCAGCCAGCGACTCCGAGCCGGAGGAAACCGAGAAGAGAGACAGCCCTAAATCAGACGCGGGCAGCGATTCGGACGAGGACAAACCCAAACAGAAAACTCTGAGAGACTCTGATGTGGAGGAGGAGGAGGAGGAGGAAGGAGGGAGGAAGCAGAAGGGAAAGTGGAAAGCTGTGATGAACTCTGACAGTGAGGATGAGGACGAGAGACCGAAACGGAAAACAGGAAGTGATGAGGATGAAGGGCCTAAACGACGGGCTCTGGCCAGTGATGATGATGATGATGAAGATGAGAAGCCTGGTATGTTTGTTTACTCGGAATGAAATCAGAAACGACTTTTGAGTATTATATAATTCTAAATGTTTAATTTTATTTCATTACTTTTGTAATAAATAGTATAATACATATATATTATAATATTTAAGAGGATGAGGACCGAAACGGAAAACAGGAAGTGATGAGGATGAAGGGCCTAAACGACGGGCTCTGGCCAGTGGCCAGTATGATGATGAAGATGAGAAGCCTGGTATGTTTGTTTACTCGGAATGAAATCAGAAACGACTTTTGAGTATTATATAATTCTAAATGTTTAATTTTATTTCATTACTTTTGTAATAAATAGTATAATACATATATATTATAATATTTAATTATAAAGTAAATTCATTTTGTATCTATAGGTATGTATAATTGTTATTAATATTATTATATTTTTAATGCTATTATAGTGATGATAATTATATAAATTCTGTATTATACTTATTATATTCAGCAATTTTAATAATTAATAATAATTATTATCATTGTTTATAATATTGTTTAGAATATACTGTCATAAGTTTACTGTAATATATGATAATGTTGTATGTGTATGTAATTATATGTAATTATAATATACATATATATAATTTTATATTATATGAAATGTGATATATATATATATATATATATATATATATATAATTGAGTTTTGATTTGATTAATATTAT